CCCCCGACTCCCAATGTCTTTTTCTTCACCTAGATGGACGCCTACGGCCTGGGTGTGGTCTCCTGGGCCTGCCGGTTCCTCATTCTGCCAAAGACAGGCATGGATTATTTGGCCATCATGACCAGTAGGAACGACTTGGAAGAAACGGAAAGGTAAGAGAAGTTCCTTAACTCTTACTAGCCCAAAGCCTATTTTCAGTTTTGTTGTAACAAATTTAGTTTAAAATCTGTTAACGCGAGCATTTTCAGCAAAAAATTGTTTTCAAGCTACAAGCATGAATTATACTAATCATGCCAATCAAATTAAATATTAAGAAAAGAAAGATTTGGTACATTTTGTATGAAGGCAAGAAGATATTTCTGATTAACGAGGAAAACATGAGACAAAATCCCCAATAATTCAGCATCTAGTAGATAGATGTGCTGACTTCCGGAAAGTCAAAGACAGTTTGGGATCAGAAAGTAATAGAGGTTTCCATCTAGTGATTCTTATTCTTATGTTTACGTCAATTATAAAATCAATACACATAATGAATGCATAACATGTCTTCTTTCAAACCTATCATCGGTATTTCTTGTGTTGTTATTCTACATTATTTTATACGGTCACAAATAACAGACGGTTTGCGTTCTGGGGGAAATAAGATGAAGTTCGAAGGGCACATGCAACATAACTAAGTCATATAAATGCCGAAGAATAAAAGTGTTACAAGCTAGTAACAAACACAAAAAAGGTGGAGGAGAGATAAAGACGATATATGTTTGATAGAAAAGAAGGAGCAAGCCACACACAAAACACCCACCAACCTCCCACTTCCTCAATCTAAACAACATGACGATGCCTCACTCAACCATAACTAATCTGACCTTGCTGTTTCCTTTCTCAGACAGTGGCTGCTCTCGTTGCTAAACCCAGACGGACCCAGCAGATCTCATGTCCGTGACGCCTTCTCTGCTCGGCAGTCAGCTCTGAGCAGCGTCAGTGAGGCAGATCAGGAGAGCAAATCACCCTCCAACTTCCCAGACAAGGATGCCGAATCACTTAGCAACAACCCACATCAGGACATCGAGTCACCTACCAACCGCCCAGAGCAGGACACCAAGTCACCTACCAACCGCCCAGAGCAGGACATCGAGTCACCTACCAACCGCCCAGAGCAGGACATCGAGCCACCTACCGACCGCCCAGATCAGGCCACCGGGTCACCCGCTAACCGCCCAGACACAGACACCGTTTCCCCCACCAGCCAGGACACCGGTACTGATCTAGCCGTTTCCTCTCTGGCTCAGTGGATGCTTTCGTTGCTGAACCCAGTCCCACTCATCAGATCTTATATCCGTGACGCCCTCTCCGATAGACAATCACCTCAGGACGACGTCCGTGTGGTAGACCAGGAAACCAAGACACACACCCACGGCCCAGACAAGGACTTCAAAACACCCTCCAACCTCCCAGTCCCAGACCAGAATGTCATGTCACCCACCAACCTCCCAAACCAGGACAGCAAGTCTCCCACCAACCGCCCAGCCCCGCCTGTCGCTAGTGAGAAGAATGTTCCAGAAGCCACAGTGGCAGTGACCTGTCACCCCAAGACGGATCTGAGAGCTAAGCTGGCTAAGGAAATGGACAATGACGATGGTGGTGATGACGCCAAGAGCAATTATGAAGATGTAATCGATGATGACGACGCTGAAGATGGTGGATCAAAGGGCGGCAGCAACGAAAAATGTTTCAAGAGCTTGTCTCAATGATGACATGCACCAAAAGAAGTTTGAAACAACAAATGGAGACATCAAGTCTATTGTGAACATTATATTATTATTCTCATAATCTCATTATCTTCTATATTTTTCGCATAGTTTTTCTCGGCCTTTTCTTTTCTAAATACCAATTGCTCGTTCCTGCTTAGATGCATTTTTATCACCTCTCAAAGATTGAAACGTTTGTGCGAAGCCGATGGCGGGGTGCTTTTTATTTTGCTTTGTTCTAATAAACTCATTAAATTATTCGTGTTTCTTTGTCTTTCAATTGTTTTAGCCAATTTGTATCATTTGTACGTTGACATGAAAGTTCCGTCACTGTCTAAAACTCAAGGTCTGAGCCATTGACAAGCAAACAGTTTCATGCTCGTGGAGAAAGAAAATGAGAGAGAGAGAGAGAGGGGGGGGGT